AGTAGGTGGTCAGTGGCACAGTCCTGAGAGGGGTTCAGCTGCGGGCCAAGTTTAGCCCAAGCCTGTACTTTTCTGGGGCCACCTGTTGCCTCAAAAGGCCACTAGAAACTGAGGTTGGCTGCCTCCACCAGTGTGGGTCTCAGCAAGGAGCACCTGACTCACTGAGGATACACCTGGATGTGGCTTGGGTGGGGCCGCAAGTTGGGGTAGGCGGGGTTTCAGGGAATCCTCTGGGCAGAGTAACCTGTTATCCAGTTTGATGACATCTCAGCTATGGTGATGCTGTGTCCGGCGCATTGGGAAGGAGGAGGATTCAACAGGGAACAATGGATACCGCCAGCACTTCTGGACAGAGCGAATCTCGACTAGGCCCTCACTCCGACAATGTCTGCCTATAACTCCCTGGTGCCTCCTGTGTGCAGCCAAATCGGCACTGGTGCTCAGAGCAAGCAGGTCCGTCAGCGCGAAAATCCGCTAGCAGACGTGGCCCCTTTAAGATGCTTCTGCCACTGCTGCAGCCTCCATCTCACTCGGCCACTCTAGACCGAGCAGCCCCGCATCCTCGCCCCGTCCTACCTTCTGCTGTTGCAGGATGCTTCTTTGGATTTCTCCCTCTCTGTATGGCTTGTTCATCTAGATCCCAGGCGATTTTTCCTTGCTGCTGCTCCTTGTTTCCATCACAACTTCGATTTGGTCGCCAGAGGGATGAACAGAGCCTCTATCTATCATCTACACCATTTTTTTCCGGTCTCTCCAACTTACCAATTTTTTAAAAGTACTGTTGAGTATATTAAGAGAGGAAGATCTAATGCTTCTATTAACAAAATCTGTACTTGCTATGAAATACATCTCTCTCAGTTGAAAAGCAACCTGAAGTGCACTTAAAGTTTCTAAAATCAATTTCTGATAAATATCTTCCTAATTAAGGGAATCTTGGATTAGTAAATGGAGTATATCAGGCATAATTTCATCATTTTTCCTTTTTCATATAGTCAATGTGTTTTTAATTGAATTTATTGGAACAACATTGGTTAATCATTATATAAGTTTCAAGTGTAGAATTCTATATCACCTGCATAATTACAACTTTCTCATTTTTTGATAACTTGAGACCATTCTTAGAAACATTAACTCCTGTACTCTATTCCCGAATTCACAGATGGTACCTGCCAGTGCTGGGGAGAAGGATGCGCACCCTTCACAGACACGGAATGAATAAAAGGACGGCTACTGATCAGTTCTAGCCAATGTTGTCTCTTTTGACTTGGAGAGGCAGTGAGGCAGAGTGGTTACAAGCACAAGCTCTGAATCCATGCCCAGATTTGACTCTCAGCTCCATCATTTACTAGTATTTGCATGCCAACGGTGTTACACCGTAAACGAGCATTTAGCAGTTGTAGGATCTTGTGCCTGCCTCAGCCTTTCTAAGCCCTCATTTTCTCATCTATAAAATAAGCCTACGTACAAGAGTGCTTACTTCATGGGGCTGCTGTAAGGAACAAAAAGATAATCCACTTAAAGTGTCTGACAAAGTACTTGCACATGGTAAGTAGTAAATACATGCCAGCTAATATTAGTCTCTCTCTGCTGGTCATCTAAGGTGTCATCGTCAAGCTTGCTTCTTACCATCACCAACAACAAGTTCTAATTTCTGTCCCTACCCACGGTTTCCCCAGTCTTGTGAGGCATCACTTAGGGACTAGAGCTTCCAGGAATAGTTTAATAATGACCTATAACAATGCTGTCCAAAAGACATATAATGCGGACCACAAATGCAAACCACATAGGTAATTTAAAACTTTCCAGTAGTCACCTTGAAAGAGCAAAACAGAAGAAACCAATTTTAATATTTTATTTAACTTGACTTATCCACAGATACTATTTCGATTTAAAAAAACGATGATATTTTACATTTTTTTGTACTAAGTCTGCAAAGTCTGGTGTGCATCGGATACTTACAGCACGTCTCAACTCAAACTAGTCACATTTTAAATGCTGTACAGTCATACGTGGCCAGTGGGTACATTATTAGTAGTTTGTTCTTCTAAAGATTATAACCACAGGAAAAAAACTCCACCTTCGAAAACACCAAAGTGCATTTATTAAACAAACTGACAGGTGCAGGAAAGAACGGAAGAAAGGTGGAATGACAGATATTCCTGACCTACGCAGACTTCTGGCCTTAACGTGGTAGTTAAGAACTTGAGCTGTGGGCTCAGAGAATGAGTTCAAATCCCACTTCTTCCACTTTCTAGCTGCGAGTCTTTAACTCCCGTATTTCTTAAAGATAAACTATAGATAAAAATAACATCTCTTTCATAAGACTGTTAGGTGTGTAAAGGTCTAGAGGAAAAGAGGTTCCCACAAGTGAAGCCCTGCTTTGCAAAAGGTGAGAAACAGGAGTGGAAAAAACTAATGAAGGAAATATTGAGCAAATTAGCTTCAGAACATAAAGCAGCCACGGTGGAGAAAAACTGGTCATACTGTAGTCACGATGTTTTGTTAAATGTCCAATTACACAAAACAACTTAGACATTGGCAGCTATTAATAAAATAACTGCAATGGCATCTCTAAAGGCCTCCATGGTTTCTATCTCCTCAGCCTGCCTGCTTTCCTCTTGGCAGTATTGTAAGTAAGGAGGGCTGATTGCCAGAATTTGGAGAATCAAGACTTTTCAGTAGTCTATATATTAACCACAGGTTCTGGCCTCAAAAAGAGGGACTACTGAATATATTTGGCTCTTTCTTTGAAGGATGAGGCTCCCTATAGTGCCTGAAATTTAATCTGAACATTATTCTTCGCTGTATTCTAAGTACATAAAGTTAGACTAAATGTTTACTGTCTTAAAACTTTCCCTGAAAGTTGGCTCTGTGAATAAATTCCTGATATTTTATTTTAAACTTGCTCTTGTTCTGTGGTCCCCCTCCACCCTCTAAAAAAAATAAAAACAATTAACAAAAAGTAATAGTAATAATAAAGTTAGTATGGTCTGCTCATGAAGACTTTAAA